CAAGGAAGGAATACAGTTCAAATCAGCAGCGATGTCTTCGGTAATTAGTTAATCTGGCATCCTACCTGCCTCGTATAGGTTCAGGTTAATCTGGGATGGCGTAATGAGCTTGAACGTAATGTCTGCAACAAGCATCACTGAACATAAACAGAGCAAACGCTGACCGAAGGCCACAGACTTTACACTAGTCACACAATGCTGGACCTGAACACAACAAAAAAGCAATCAACCGTATGCGTGGAGGTGAGTGTTCTTTTTTTTTTTTAAATGTAGTTCGTTTATTCGATGAATCCCAAGTGAATGATTGCTGGTGTTCGATAGTCACCCTCTTTTAGTAACTGAGTTTAGTGCTTTGATTTTGATTTTTTTTTTTTTTATGGGGAAAACTGAATTAAACGCTTTTGTTAGCCAGTTACATTTAAAAAGTTCACTTTAAGAGAAACAACAGGTTAATTTGAAGAAAAACCAGCAGTTTTTTTTTTTTGCTGCTGCTGCTGGTTTTAGCATTATGAAGCTTATTTACCTTGAATACAACATGAAGTCTTTCAAATATAAAAAATATTTAATGAAATTAAAATGTTTCTGGAGTTATTCATTGTTGCTTTAACAATGCACAGTCTTTACACTAAAGTTTGTTCCCATTTAATGGCATCCCTCCCAGCAAGTAGTTTTTATATGACCCAATCACAAACCTTTATACAATATGATCATAATTTGCATGAGTCATGTATTTCAGTCAATAGTCTGTCATGTTGGTTTAGGAGTGTGGAGATTGGACAGGGGAGTGTTTGGTGTGGTTGACACACAAATGGCCCTTGAGCATGGCACTGTTGGACCAGAGTAAGCTGATTTAACCCGATCTTGGTTATAAACGCTATGCTCTGGGAAGGATGCCCAGAAGATTAACGTCTCATTAAGAGGTGGATGCGTCAAGGTTCCTAAAATGTTCCTGTAGACCAAACAGTAGAGTACAGTGCTAACAAGGCCAAATTCATAGGTTCACATGGAATGCATGTCCTGAGTACAATGCAAGTAGGTTTGGATAAAAGCATTTAACTCCAAAAAAACATTTTTAAACACTTAAGAACAAGGATGCACACTGCATATGTGACTAAAATCTGCTTCTTTTTTTTGTGGATTCATGGAAAGTCTCTTGTTATGAATTTGAATAGTTATTAGTCAATAGTTATTGATCGACAATGGTTTATATAATAAGGGTGGTGGTGGTAGTAGTAATTTTGCAAGTCTATGTATATATTTAAGTTTGTACATAACATTTAATGCTTACTAAGAAATCCAATTTTGAACATCTTTCCTCTGTCCTATTGTCTGTAGTCGTATTATTTTAGAGTCTGTGTTTCAGAGGTCAGGAGGTTGACAATAACTCAAAGTCTCAGTGTTGAGCTATAAATGGCCCGCTTTGCTTCATTCATCTGTAAGTAAATGAAGCCAACATGCATTAGAAGGCAGAGCATGTCATCTCAGTCCACTGAGCTGGTTTGATTCTGTGCTTTCATCAGCAGGTGGACATGCTGGCGCCCATTACACTATTTAAATTGCATGCTAGAAGTAACCCATTCATTTGGGTAAATTTATTTACTTATGCTTTAATGGGTATCAATATTTTATTTTTAACTTTTCTCTCCAGCGGCCAGGATTCAGACATCACAGAAAAGGTACAGGCACTGACTGTGCTCTGAGTTTAATTTACATTGCATCATATAGTCTGTCATATAAACATGTAGACATAATTTTAGACATCTTACAATTTGCTTCTCAAATGTCAAATCATAACTGAAGATTTGTTGGTGTTCATATAAGTCTAAATGTTTCCAATCTTTCTTTTCAGAGAATTATGCATGTCATTCTCCTGTGTCCCAGCAAAGCACAGACAGTGGAGACGAGTTCATTCAGCTCCGGAAACTGAATGGCTCACCTGGCGAGTGTCCCAGTCGCCAGAATCTTCATAAGGAGCTTCTGCTCAGCCACAAGAGGTAAAGAGTAACATCTAAGATGTGTTTACTTTGCAAATGAAGTAATCCAACATAACCCAATACTTTACAAAGAATAAAAGCAAAATAAACAAACCTCATTTTGAAAGTTTTAAATGACATCAAACCTACACTAACCTGCATTTATTCATACAAACTGTGACCTTTTTTTCTTCTCAGAGGCCTGTTGGAGGAGAAACCAGAATTGCAGCGCGTGTTACAGCAGAGGAGGCTTGACCTGCACCGAGAGGAGGAACTTGCCCTCCGACCTCCTTCTGACCTGGAACAAGAGCTCCGTAAGAGACAACAGAAACTGCAGGAGGTACTGACCAATCTCTGTCCGCTTGATGTTCCTCATTACTGAAATGGCGGTCAAGAGTTTTGCCAGATGCAAGTCAGTAAAAATTTGGGATGAACTGAATTATTGTGGCTATGCATTTTGTTGAATGGACTTGCGCACTTCATATATTTTAGTGTTTTGTAAAGTTGACCGTTTTAAATCTCTCTCCACAGTATGAGATGGAGGAACAGAGGCGCATGGAGGATGAGAAGAATGTGCCAGAATTTGTCAGAGTGAAAGAAAGTCTGCGTCGCATACAGTTGACTGAATAAAACGACTGAAAGGGCCTATGGAGAAGAAATGCGCCTTTTGTAATTTTTACAGTTTTCATATAATAGAGAATGTTATGAAATTAAGTTGCATACAGCTGTAATGAAGCCCTCTATTTAAATATACTGTAATGTTCTGTAAACCTGAATCAAAATAAAGCTATTAATGTCTTGTATAAAATTCCCCCTTTTTTTTTTTCTTTTCTCCCCCCCTTTTGTCAAGCAGGTCACCAAACTGTCATACTTAAATGAGACTTTCATATTGAGAAGTCAGTTACTTCCTAGCAACCAAATGACAATCTCCAGCCACATCTCGGCACCATAATATCCTAGCATGGTCTTTTCTTTTTAAATCGAAAAGTGACTTTTGTAGTTTACTCGCTATCCACAGCCTTGTTCGGTTTTTCCCCCCTACACTAGAATGCTCAAATCGATTCGGTGTCTCGCTGCCTTTGCATTTACAGGTGGCACTCCTGCACATCGCCAGCGCGGAGAGAAATCTCCTTTCACATGGAAATGCCCGTTTAATTAACTGATCTTTAAATTCAGGAAGAGACACGAGGAACGCAAGCTGGCCATCTGCCGTAGCCCGCCTTTATCAGGAAGGTAACAGGAGGCAAATGGGAAGCAAATCGACAAAGAAACGTTTGTAGGAAGAAACTCGAGCCATGTTGTGCTCTCAATTTATATATATATTTATAAGCTGACGACAGTTACAACAAATACTCTTTCAGCAAATTACTTTGAACAGTATCGGGCATGTCGCCACGCAGGAAAACAATGAAGTTGTGGCAGCGTGCCATTTCAGACACCATTCATACCGTCCAGAGGACTATTCGCCAGCTGTCCTCTTGTTTAACTCTTATTGTCTCGGTTTTCTCCCGCTGGCTTTGTTAGACACGCCTATCGCAGAAGAAGCGTGTGCTGCTTTCAAAAGATCACGCACGCTTACGAAGTATTCTAGACAAACATTCGCGATAGGGGGCGATTTCAGTGGTATCGCCCGGTGATGCAAGTCAGTAAAAATTTGGGATGAACTGAATTATTGTGGCTATGCATTTTGTTGAATGGACTTGCGCACTTCATATATTTTAGTGTTTTGTAAAGTTGACCGTTTTAAATCTCTCTCCACAGTATGAGATGGAGGAACAGAGGCGCATGGAGGATGAGAAGAATGTGCCAGAATTTGTCAGAGTGAAAGAAAGTCTGCGTCGCATACAGTTGACTGAATAAAACGACTGAAAGGGCCTATGGAGAAGAAATGCGCCTTTTGTAATTTTTACAGTTTTCATATAATAGAGAATGTTATGAAATTAAGTTGCATACAGCTGTAATGAAGCCCTCTATTTAAATATACTGTAATGTTCTGTAAACCTGAATCAAAATAAAGCTATTAATGTCTTGTATAAAATTCCCCCTTTTTTTTTTTCTTTTCTCCCCCCCTTTTGTCAAGCAGGTCACCAAACTGTCATACTTAAATGAGACTTTCATATTGAGAAGTCAGTTACTTCCTAGCAACCAAATGACAATCTCCAGCCACATCTCGGCACCATAATATCCTAGCATGGTCTTTTCTTTTTAAATCGAAAAGTGACTTTTGTAGTTTACTCGCTATCCACAGCCTTGTTCGGTTTTTCCCCCCTACACTAGAATGCTCAAATCGATTCGGTGTCTCGCTGCCTTTGCATTTACAGGTGGCACTCCTGCACATCGCCAGCGCGGAGAGAAATCTCCTTTCACATGGAAATGCCCGTTTAATTAACTGATCTTTAAATTCAGGAAGAGACACGACGAACGCAAGCTGGCCATCTGCCGTAGCCCGCCTTTATCAGGAAGGTAACAGGAGGCAAATGGGAAGCAAATCGACAAAGAAACGTTTGTAGGAAGAAACTCGAGCCATGTTGTGCTCTCAATTTATATATATATTTATAAGCTGACGACAGTTGCAACAAATACTCTTTCAGCAAATTACTTTGAACAGTATCGGGCATGTCGCCACGCAGGAAAACAATGAAGTTGTGGCAGCGTGCCATTTCAGACACCATTCATACCGTCCAGAGGACTATTCGCCAGCTGTCCTCTTGTTTAACTCTTATTGTCTCGGTTTTCTCCCGCTGGCTTTGTTAGACACGCCTATCGCAGAAGAAGCGTGTGCTGCTTTCAAAAGATCACGCACGCTTACGAAGTATTCTAGACAAACATTCGCGATAGGGGGCGATTTCAGTGGTATCGCCCGGTGTGGTACATCTAAATTTGTTAACAAGCACAGTTGAAAAAAATTTCCTCATTAACATGCTAAGTAGGCATCTATTAATGTTAATACGTATGTTACTTTATAAATAGCAACTGGAGAATATTTCAGCTACATGGCACACTCCCCCTGCGCAAATACAGTTGGTATATTCCAGTGGCTTTTGGCTGGCTTGAGCAAAGACACCACATCCAGCTGCACTGTGGAGTCGCCGGCACACGCGCATCTGCGGGAATGGAGTGAACGGAGGGTGTGTATTGGGCTGGATACGGCAAAAAAAGGTATGGTAAATATAATATTTGTATTGATAAATATTACATGTGTATTACCTTTTTTGTGGCATAAATGGATTTTATATGTGGAAATGATATTTTATTAAAGCTTTGCACAAAGGCCCCATGAAATCATTCATTCGAAGACATGCGCTAAATCTTTGATAAGCTCTGTACTCATGATCTTAAATATGTTTTGAGTGCATTTATGTTTTTGGGACTTAAACCTACATTTACGACAGACATAAATGCTGACCATTTCATTGCATGGACTAGTGCTGCTTATAAGGTCAATCAACCCTTTCAAAGCATGCAAATTATTAAAGACTGTCACTAGTAAAATGAAATCTGAATTGCATGATATTTATGGGGCCCAAGTTGGTTTCGATGCTGATGGCATAATTGCATTATGATTGATTAAATGGAATACCTACTACAATAATATTTATCTTCATAAGCTCCATGCATTTAAAAGACATGTTTCTTAGTGCTTGTGAGTGTTGTTTACCATTGAGCCAGATCCAGTGGTATTGGTACAGCCATTCTAGACATTAGGTCTGTTAAAAGTTAATTAAAAGGAACATTTTGCCTACAGTTAAAGCCATTATTATTTGTATAAAGGCTTACAGGGTTTATCTTTTTTCCAGAAATCCATGGTAGTATATCTTGATTAACTTTGTACTGGAATACAGATTGAAGTGGATGTCCATTCATAAAGGGTCTGAGAATGAGTCAGTGTAAACAGAGAATGAGTCTGTTTACACTGGCAGAGAAACTTACTTCATTAGCCAAAGATGTTTTCGTCTTTAAGAGGCTTTCTGTCATGCATTCTGATTAATCATTTCATCTTCATTGAGTGGCATGATGAAAGGAGAGAAGTGGAATCACAAAGACTGTCTTTCAAGTCTCTTCACTCACTCACTCACTCTCTCTTTCCCACTCTCCGCCATGTTTTGCATGGCTTCATTAACAATCGACTGGTTTTTGGCTTTGCACCAGCTGTGGAAATAAGTCACACACTAAAATCTGTCGCTCCATAACATCTGCATCCACATGATTCAGCATCTCTGTAATAACAGGCTCCGCATACAATCTGGGTCGTGTTCAAATCTCCCGTCAGACTTTCCAAGCTCTGGCCCTCTCTGGGAATTCCAGTCCTGGCCGCAGTGGTAATGAAATTGGCCGAGTAGGCATTCCAATAGATCACAGCCCAACAGACTCATGGGAAAGGGTGTTTGGGAATCTGGAGGAGGTGACATGAGAATTGAAGACTATTGAAAATGGGCTTATTTGCTGATGTCTCATCTTTACGCTTGACTGCGAGAGAGGATGGGTGGATCTGTTGTGTTATTCTTCTGCTGCTGAGATCGCTGTCAAGAAGACTATGTCCTGTCTGCTCTTCTGAGCTTAATGTGCTTTGTAATCAAGACAGACCTAATGTGTTTTCAGGGTGGAGGTCCTTGAGTGCAGTTGTGCTGATTGCTCTTTTTCACACGTTTACAACAAAGTCCCTTTCAAGGAAAGTCATTTAATGGCCATTTGGGAAATTTTAGGCATGCAAGTGTCATCTACTTGAATTATGAAATACTTAGGTCTCAAAAACTGCTTGCCAAACTCATATTTAAATCACATTTCAAATTAGGAATAAAATCAAACATGAACTGTCCCACAAATGTTGGGCAAATTGAATGTGATTCACTGATTATGTAGGTACTCAAATTTGTTCTGAAATTTCTGATATTCAATATTTCTTTGTATGTGATCCATGGCAGAAAGTCATACAGGTTTTCAAAGATGTGAGGGTGAGTCAATTTTGGCAGAATTATAATTTTGGGGTCAACTAAAATTGGGAGTTGCTTTTTGTTTAATAAAGCACAGTTTGTCACAGTGACCTAATTCCTGCTGCAGTTTCATAAGCCTTTCTTTTGCCCTCTGTAAGTTTTGTTGTATCAGCAGATACTGTCCTCTCAGCAAATTGACCACTCGGGCTTGTTGACAGAGCTTTGCTGGTATTTTTTCAGTCGTTGGAGTGTCTGATGGAGCAGGCTGCTTTCTATTGTGCTGAGCTGCATCCATCCACATGAGTTACAGAACTGAATGAGGATGGAGTCTTTAGAAGCTCCACAGTCACGTCCTGTCAAATTTTCTTCCTCAGAACTCAGGAAGAGGGATGATAAGGATCCACGCCGACTCATTAGTAGGGATGTTGTCCCTAGTGATGTGGGTGGGCAACTAGATTTCCCCCCAAAATAGCATTTATATAAGTACAGCGCCTGTCCTAGATTTTTTGTGCATGACACCGGCGCTCATTAGATATAACAAGGAGCCATGGGCCCTATTTCTAAAACACACATATGATTGGATTTGATCCTAAATTCCATGGATTTCATCCAGAATGTCAAAGCTGTTCCATAACATCCATACAAACTTTTTGTTCCATATATACCAGTAATTCAAATAGTCCAACTCTGATTATGAAAATGTAAAGATAAATAAACAGACAATCACAATATGCATAACTATTATTATATGTGCACATTAGTCATTTTAAGTGTGTTGTGGGTATTACATGATTTAATTTAATTCATTAATTAGATTACTGATTTCCTGGAATGAATGAATGAATAAATAAATGTGTATATGTAAGAGGGATACATTTAGGGAATGTTTTTTGTGCATATTATATTAATGTTTTATAAATCAGTCATGGGAACATTTAAAAAAATGTGTTGCACGTTCACATTTAGGATCATTCCAAGCATATCTTTATACATGACCCCTAGGTTTGATAATGGTTGATGTAACTTGCCTTTTCTTTCTCAGGAAATGAAACCTCTTACTTTTTTGTAGGACTTCAAAAAAAGTAGTGTTGCAAATGTCATTAATTGAGCTAATATCTTCCTCAAATCTTGTTACTGGATATGAAAGCATCTTTTGTAATTCTGAAACTCAAGATGATGGCAATTCAGTCATAATTTAATCATCCTAATGTTGTTCCAAACTTTAGGCCACTTTCTTCTGTGGAACACAAAAATTTGAAAAAAAAATGTCTCCGTATTACTTGTTTTCCATATAATGAAATTCAGTAGGGTCCAGTGTTGTTTTGAACCCCATTCAATTCTGCCATGATATATTCACTCTAATTTTTGGGTAAACTTCCCCTTTAAACAGATTAATAATAAGTTTCCTGCTTGATTGATTCCTTTTACATCTGTAAGAGGATCCGATTTGTCATTCAAAACTCATCTCCTCATCTTACTTTCTCCATACTGAGGCCTGCGAAATCTGAGACGTCACAGACAGAGATCCCTAAACATTATTTCTAACAATCCTTTAGAAAAACTTTGCCTGCAAGTTTTCTTCATGGTAATAAGAGAATCCCTGACATGGTTATCTAAGTTATCAGCATGTCCCGCCTGAGGCTGAATCAGTATGGACACATTGTTCCACTTCAAAGCTATGGCGAGTGGGCACTGAAAGAAAGAGAGGGGGTCTTGGAGAGAACAGGTGCAGTCTTTGGGAGGGGGAGAGTCCCTTCTGCCATCTGTTGACTTCTTGTTTTCCCCCAAACACACTTCATCACAATACACACGCCTGCTTGGTCATAGTGATCCAGGTTGCTATGGTGCTGTATGCGAAGGATAAGACCCCCACATGTGTGAGTTCAACTCTGGGCGTGCGGCTATTGTGTTTTTTTTGGGGGGGGGGCAGACTGAAATAGGGGTGGATGAGGCGAAAGACCGGTTGACTTTTTCAGATGTGGAGGAGATGCTGAGGTGCCTGTGAAGGGTTCTCCTCGGGAGGTTCGGTTTTACATAATCGCACGGCCACAAGCCACTGTTTGGAAGGCAAATTTACTTAGTGGTTTCTGGACTGGAGAGCAGCAGAAAATGGAGAGTGCTTGAAATCAAACAACAGATTTCAGTCTTTTCTCTTCCCCATCAACAGGTCACATCTGCAGCCTGAACTCGGATATTTTGAAAACTGCAGAGTAACAAAAATAGACATGGATTGTAAGGAGGAGATCAGTGACTCTGATAGCGGGATCATTTTAAACTCTGGTGAGTGCTTTTGTTTTGTTTTCATTTTTTAAATTATAAATCATATTTAGGAGGGAGGAGAATGCATATCAGTAACCAAAATTTGGTGCTGTAGTCCCCCAAAAAACATTTGGGGGACTACAGTAGTTTTAGTTTAAGTAAACATTACTTAAAATTTTCTAGCTTTATTTTATCTAAATTTTTTTGTGTGTGTGTGTGTTAATAATAGATAATATTAAAGGGGTCCTATTATGCTTTTTCACTTTTAGTTAGTCTGTAATGTTGCTGTTTGAGCATAAAAAAGATCTGCAAAGTTACAAAGCTCAAAGTCCAATTCAAAAGGAGACATTTTATTGAACAGAAATCACTTTTCAAAAACTACAACGAACGACTCGTTTGGACTACAACGCATATTTTCCGTGATTTGTGATATCACAAATATCGACGAATGGGACGAGACCTGGTTGAGCTGCACTAGAGAAGGCAACACACTCCATGTCGGAGACGCGCTAGATTTCCCAAGGCAGACAAACTTAGAGGAGTTACAATCATCCGGGTTTAAATCACGCTCAAATTGATTTGATTTTGACGCAATATTTACACTGAAGCTCGCAGGCGGCTATGGTAAGGGGCATGACATTTCTTGACCAGGCGCCGAGTGCTGCCAATCACAACACACACTGGCCCAGCTAACCAATCACAGCACATTTCGTATTTCAGAAGGTGGGCCTTCATTTGATACAGGAACTATTCGAGTCGTTCATGCCAGACTGGGGAGAGAGGTGTTGTAATAATGTAAAATATGAAAAAATAATATGTTTTTCGAACAACCTAGTATGAGAGCCTGTTCTAGTACACCCCCAAAACAAAATGACAAGGAAAGTCAGATACTCAACTCTAGTTTCTTACATGAGTGCTAGAGTTCATTGTGTCAGGGCAGGCCAACTGCTAGCCCCCTGTATGTGTGTGCTCTTGTGTAATGAAATCTGTTGTGATTATCCAGGCCCAGACAGTCCTACGTCTCCGGTGAAGGACCTGAGCACTCACACGCGTGCCATGAGGCTGAAGCAGCAGGCCCTTGAGGACAGACTGGAGCTTTGTGTCCTGGAGCTAAAGAAACTCTGCATTAGAGAGGCTGTGAGTGACAAAAAAAGTGTCATCAGTATTGCCATCTCTGCTAAATTCATAAACATCATGTATCATATATATATATATATATCGTGGATTATTATGTGTAAAATTGCAAAAATATCATTCATTCATGCATGACGGCGATTTAAACCTAATTCACTTCAATTAAGATAACTATACATGCTATTCTTGTCATGAGCATCAAGGTGTGGGGGCGCTGCGGTACAAATTCCACTCATGTTTAGTACATGTTAACTCAAAGATTTGTAGAAAAAATATAAACGCTGGACTCTGTGGTCGATTCTGTGTTAAGGTAAGGCATGTTATTAGCAATTATGTGTTGTGGCTGGGTTGTTATAGGTCTGCGTGACTCTCGATGTCTTAGGCCTAATTGAACGGAGGAATTATGGTATTTTTCTGTAGCCTGACGACGAGTAACTTTAACCACTGTTCATGTGAACTCAAAGACAGCCTGATGCTTTGTTTATAGACTATTTGTGGGTGGCTGTTTGTTGTTTCACCTATCAATTCCTGTCGATAAAGTATAATAGGGATTTATTCTATATAGTGCTTGCATAAAGCAAGTAGTGCATACACTTGTAGCTGTCATGTATCTTTGTAAGTCATTGTAAGCCCTCTTTTGAGGCACGCGCAAGCGCATGAACAATATTCAATTATCAATCTTGAAAATGTTTTTCTTGCTTGAAAACCATGATAAAATCTTACTGATCCCAAACTTCTGAAAAGTAGTTTGTATTACATACAAGGATAAATTACTTTGCACACACATTGTGTCGTAGTTTCAAAAGAATAGGAAAGTTTAAGTAGGAAAGTCAGCTTGCCCATAAGCGTAAATCAGGTTGCTCTGATTAAGCTGGGGTTTTTCTTGTTCTCAATACAGCCCTTCAATAGAGGCACTAAAGCAATGTCCAAGAAACAGATGCTTCTTTACATGTTAGCCCACATGTCTGTCATTCATTATTGGCCAAGCAGGGAGAAGATTTAAGGACCCAATCATTACACTATAGAAACCTCTTTGTGGACATTTCGACAATATAAAGACGAGCATCTGCTCGCTCAAGATTTTGTTTTGTTTTGTATTGACTAACAGACATGAAGTTTGTTTTCTTTGAGATTAAAATGCCCTTTGTTTTAACAGGAGCTGACTGGAAATTTGCCCTCCGATTACCCTCTCCTGCCTGACGAGAAGCCTCCGCAGGTCCGGCGACGCATCGGAGCCGCTTTCAAACTGGATGAGGGTTTTATTTCACAAGATGGCGAGGTATAGGCCACAGTTTCTACACGGAGATTACTTTAATGCAACTGACTGTTATTTGAGCCTACCTGGCTAGTTTGAAATGTTATTCATGGTGGTGAAACGGTTCCATTTATATGGAAAAAGATTTTTACAAGGTGCGTTTAATCCATATTTCAGCATTTTCAGCATGCGGTTACCCCCTAAAATGTTTGTCTCCAGGAGTCTGAGCTGCACGCGCTCGAGGCTGATCTCGCCCTGCAGCGGCAGATTTATGAGGCAGCCCGAAAGCTCTCCCTCGAGGAGCACATCAGCAAACCGGTGAGGAAAAGCCGACTGCAGCAGTGTAAACGTGAAGAGAAGAAGCTGAAAGAGCTGCAGGATGCGATACTGAAACACCGCATCAACCATGGCTGTGTCTCTCCACAGACCTGCTATTCTTCCAGACAGAGAGGTCAGCCAGTCGATGCTCATATAAACTACATTTTATGCATTATAAATGTGATTGACGGTATTACCAAAAAGATATGATTTGAATGAACAAATATTTGTTGGTCCATTCCAGATCTTTGTATGTCTGATGACAGCTCGCTGTCTGATGCTGTTGCCTTAGATGATGGTAAGCAAGCAACCCTTTATTTCATCAAACTCAAATTTTCACACTCCACTGTATGTGGAAATTTGATGTCTAGGATTTTGCTAATGTAGAAAATTTGTCTTTTATCTACAGACTCAGACTCTGCTCCCTTTTCTCCAGCCGTTCTGGGGTCTTCCACAGACAGCGGTTTCCAGTGTCTGACTCTCTTGCCCAATAACGGCCCAAAGCAATCGAGCTCCAGTTCCAGTCTGGACTATGATGCCTCGCCCATCCAGAACTCTCCATGGAAGGAGTCCAGCTTGGACCAGCCCTACCAGAAACAAAAACCTTCTCACTCTGCCTGCAGCAGCCGCTCAAGGTACTGTGGGATATTCTAGCTTTGAGTCCCATGGTAGATATTTAAGTGCAATATAAGCATACCATTGCTTTGTGTTGTTAGAGCTGTTTTAAAGGAACTTGATAGATCATTTGGTTAACATACACCTTACTGTTCAAATGTTTGGGGTGGTAAGACTTTTAGTAACACTTTACTTAAAGCCTCTATGTATAATGCATTATAAAGGGTTATTTAAGTGTATAATGCATTATAATTATTGATAATGTGCTTTGTAATATATTATATAATTAAATAATTATAACCGAATTTAAAATGCATAGTGTAACAATGAATTAAGCATGATAATGTATTAACTGTGGTTACAATTATTCATGAGATTATAAGATGCATTACAAGGCATAATTAATGCATTAAAACTACTTTTATTATGCATTATACATATATGCTTTAAGTAAAGTGTTACATTTTTTGTATTTTTGGAGGAAGTGCCTTGTGCTCATCAAGGCTGCATTAATTTAACTTACAGTAAAAACAGTAATATTGTGAAATATTATAACAATTTAAAAGGTCTGTTTTCTATTTTAAATATTTAAAATGTAATTTATTCCTGTGATGGCATAGCTGAATTTTCAGCAGCCATTACTCCAGTTTTTAAGTGATCCATCAGAAATCATTCCAGTATGTCGATTTGGTGCAGAAACATTATTATCAATATTAAAAACAGTTGTGCTTCTGTGTCAGCAGCAGTCCAACAGGCTCACCAACAGACACAAGAATGGCAGAACTTCCTCCAGCACCCCAGTTTGTGTTTAAGAGTCTGCCAGTGCGAAACAATCAGCCAAACAGCGCCCCCTCCACCCCAGAGCTGCCACTGCGTCGACAGTTCTCACAGTCCTTCAGGTAAATTAATATAAAGCATTGGTACTTTAGGATTGCCTAAATACTGTTTTTCAAATACATGGCTCAAATTGATATTAAGACTGTTTTTAAAACTTGTGAAAGTTAAATATGTTGGGAAATACATAGTTTTTATAAAAAATATTAGTGAAGCAGTTGCATTTAAATATTTTCGTTACACTTCAAGGTGTCCTTTTTACAGTGTAATCATACATTTAAGTACTGACTCTGAGTAATATTAATTAACTATTAATTAACTACATGTACTTACTATATGGGTTGGGTTAGGATTAGGGTTACTTGCATGTAATTATGCATAATTTATTGTTATTATAATAGTAAGTACATGTAACATGTGTACCAAGGACACCTTAAAAAATAAAATGTTACCAATATTTTTAATTGATGATTTTCAGTTTATTAATTAGCAACATTTGTATTTGTACAGCAATGTCTTACCTACTAATCTGTTATCATCTCCTCTCAAATAGGCTTCCCAGAAGCAAACCAGAATTGACCAAGGCCAGCTCAGACCTGGGACGGGGCCGGACCAAGTTGCCGCGACAACGAGTGACCGATGTCGCATTAGCCTACTCAGTTCAACGTTTATATCAGTGCAGCTCTGAAGACAGCAGCTCCGAGCTTTCCATTTCCTCATACAGCAGTTCCTCCAGCCGAGAGACGACCACCGAGGCACCTAAACCCTATCCGCCTCCATACGGCTACCATCGCACCGCTCCAAATAAAGGACCAAGCCAGCTCAACACCTACAGTACACTCAAAAACAACAACAAAAACCCACCTCACCTCGTGCCTGGCCCCAATCGCACCGCTCCAAATAAAGGACCAAGCCAGCTCAACACCTACAGTACACTCAAAAACAACAACAAAAACCCACCTCACCTCGTGCCTGGCCCCAATCGCACCGCTCCAAATAAAGGACCAAGCCAGCTCAACACCTACAGTACACTCAAAAACAACAACAAAAACCCACCTCACCTCGTGCCTGGCCCCAATCGAGTGAAGATTAGCAATGGGACACCACTTCAGGCAGACATGGCAAGGCTGCAACTCAGACAGAATTCACAATCTGATGCTGTACATACTAATAAACCCCAACAAGTCGAGGTTATCTCACCCAAACGAATGCTCAAGCCTCCCCCGCCATACACAAAGGTGGTCCGCACGACGTCACTAAGAGAATATCCCAACCACCCCAGCCGTGTGCTTCCTCGAGATGTGGTATCAGGGGAGCTTAAAACCTGGCACCAGAAAACCAATATAATCATATCCAAACCCCGCTCACTTGAACGGCAAGGATCGATTCGAATCAAGCGCCCAGTGCCGCCACCCTACCACCAGATTCCCTCTCATAAACAGGTAAATATGTGGACAATATGTGCATTTATCAGTACCAGTTTCGTAAATGAAATCCGTTCTTGGTAAATGATGAGCATACTTGTTTGGATCCAGGTTTCTCAGAAGGTGATTCTGCAAAGGGCTTCGGATGGAACGCCGCTGCAGTGGTACGAAGAGGAAGACTCCGAGATTGTGAGTCAGGTGTAACCAGGTAGAAGAAACCTGGAGGAGATGACACAGAGAATAAGCGAACTCTTATTGTACATGTCTTTATTTTTATTTATTGAGCCAATGGACTCACCGATGTAGTCTGATTATGTTCATTCTCACCGAGACTTTTTGACCAAGTTGGAGCTGAGCCTCGATTCTATATATGCCTACATTTGTGATTAAATTTCAAGTCTAAGACTTCCTTGTAAGGCATCATGCCAGATTATTATGATGAATGTATAATATAATCGTGCTTTTATTGATGTCAGTAGAGTGTGGCCCACCTTTTGCAAAAGAATGCCCTCACAGAAATGACATCTTTTAGTATGTATTTGTGTCTTGTACACGATTCTTCATAATTAATGTATTATGTAATGTCTTAGTTTCCCCATGATTTTATTTAATTTAACACATTATGAATTAATATATTATTTTTCCATAATATTTTTTATTTGTGAATTAATATTGCCCCTTTCCTAACACAATTTTTTTTAATTAGTGAAGTGTTGCTCTGCTACTGTAATATGCATTGTCAGAATAATCCATCTGTGAGTTTTAATAATACCAAATGCAGATGTTTTACTTCGTTTGTACACTAACTAATTATGAAATATATTTTATATTATTTATAATACACTTTAATAAACAATATTACAGATCCTCACTATTGCCACTATTCGCATTTTGTCACATTTTCAGATATTTCACATTGACATAGAAAACCGATGTAGAGCATACACTGACATGAGTGCCAGTGCAAGACTTTTATTCTGAGACCATTTACAACTATATATGAAACAGTTTGCCCTAAAACAAAGTTAAAACATCTACCAAATAGTAACTAAAAGCTATCAACACTGCTTTTAACACATTCATCACATTTCCATTTCTGTACATATTTATTATAATTTTCACATCCATAAGACTGGGGTTTGCAGCAACCACACTAATATGGCTAATATAATGATTGAGCAAAGAACAGCGAGGTAAATGACAAGGACTATCCAGCGGCAACGATACATCCACTGCATAAGAGGGCGCCGTCTGCAGGTGGAGTCACAAACAAAACAAATGATCAGTATGGATTAATATTTCAATAGATAAAAGACTATGTGAAAAAGCAGCGTGCAAATGAATATTAAGTGTAACTTACAAGCTAATGACACATCTATCACAGTCTCTGAGGTAGCGCTCAGATTCCTTCAGCAAGGCATGACTGCGCTCCAGCGAAGCCTTCCTCCTCAGCTTTTGATGAGGTAACACTGGCAGTGAACTTGGGTGTCTGTTATTTTCATAATTATGAAATGGTTAATATACCACTATTTAACTGTAGCAGAGAAAATCTTAGCACTAAATCAAACTTTGTGGATTGTTTATGCCTGTAATGACACATTAAAGGTCCCTTTATTCCTGAAACTTTTTCTCCATGACTTTGAAAAACAATTTGCCCATGTTTAAGGTTACCTACTTTTTTACAAATGTGGGATCCAGCTCAAGACTCAGAGTCTGGTTGGGATGAATTTGGGCAGAGGATGTCTCCTCAGGAGCATCCACTGTGGCAGTGTGTGAGGTTAAAAGTTCTTGAGGTACTAACGTTACTTGCCTAAAGAAATGTGAGGCTTGGATGTAGTTATTAATCACACTTACACTGTAGTAAGTCAGCATAAAACATCATTCACAACCCATTTTATTCCAAAATGTTATGTATTCCCAAGTTTAAAAAAAGGGTATGAAACAAGAAAAAATTACAGGACATTAAAAATGTGTATAAAGTCAGTCAATAGTTTAAAATTTGATTTCACGTTGATAAAAATTCACTGTATATATTTTATAAACGACTTTATTGTGAATGGTACATCTGTGTATATCATTGGTTAAAAAAAAAATAAAGACTTGAATCAAGTCTCCAGCATATATATTTTTTTAATAATCTGTTTTCTCAGATGTACATCACTGACTACAGTGATGATGTATTTTTGCAGGCCAACCTGGAAGTTAGCATCACACTGGTTCCCTGGACAAAAACCCAATGGGATTTTTCCATTGGCTTTTGGATTATTGTAGAAAATAAGCTCAAATCAACAAAAGTTTACGATCCTTACACATTCTGTTCATCATTATAATATTCACAAATGAACACAACTTTTATTTATTTTGACGTAAATACAACTGGCAGAAGTAAAAAGCTAAATGTAGGCTATAAATTACCTACATAACTACTTAGCTGTCAACAACTCTTTCAGTCTTTATTTACTCTGAAAGTTTGCGTTAAAATAATTTGCGAGAATGCAATTATAAACACAATGAAGCTGTGAAAGTGGACTAGTGATTAGATGAGTTTACCAGTTGCGATATGATGGCATTTAACATCCCGACAACCTCTGCAGTCCCATTTAACCAGCTGTTAGCACCTTTTCAAAATAAATAAAAGCTTTAAATCTTTAAAATATTTAAGGTCATAGAATACGTGAAAATAACTTTAACTGGTCTTAACCACAGACCTTATTTGAAGCTTTTACCCAAAACCCAGTGAAAAAATTGACTTCAAACACTGACTTCAGGAGGATAGAACCGAAAGTGCTAAAATTCTAACTTGTTTCTAGGTTTTGGCCTGCAAAAATACATCATCCCTGAAGCTGTCTATACAGAAGAAAAGATCTGACACTACTTCTGTTACATCACAACTATAAATATACAGATGTATCCAAATTACCCTCTGCTCATTTGGCAGTCATCTGTGTGGTCTGGTTTCTTTGTGATTTCACAAATCTCATTGGTCACTGAAGATAATATAGCTTCTGACTCCTTTATTTTTTGCTTCTTCAAATGAAAAAGAAAAGAAAATTACAAGTGCACTTAAACTAAATTAAGATGAATGGTTGAGACTCAATGTGCACCAACCTGGATTTGCTTTGCAATGATGTTTGTACTGATTCTACGCCGTAACTGAGGCTGAGACAAAAGAATGAGACTGATGATACTCTTAACAAATCATATAATACACATCTGAACTATAAATTATTCATATATCTATCACTGTAAGCCGCTTTGGATAAAAGGGTCTGCTAAATGGAGTCAAGAGTCAATACCTTCTGTGAGTCTTTTTCAAGCTTTTCAATAGCGTCAGTTCCCACTGCAGTGACACAGATACATTATTTCAAAATGCTAGTGGACTTTAACATTGTGAAAGAACTGAATGGGTGTTTTCCTACCCCACTGCTCACAGACATGTCGCTCTCTGCTGCTTTTCTCCATCTGTTTCTTCATCTCCTCCAGTTCAACGCTATTCCTCTCATGACGGCGCTTCAGGTTCTCCACATGAGCAACCATCAGTTCCACTGCATGGTTCACTTTGGCCTCCTACACAGACACAGAACGGGATTGAACATATTAAAAGCCCATTGATTGAACCACCAATCAAATGGGACCTACTATAATGTTCTCTGGCTTTGCTACCAGAGTAAAATCTAGTATGGACCGATACCTGATGCACAGCCCCAAGAACCTCTGCTGTGTTGGAGATTCGTCCGATGGTGCCCCTGATAATGTTAAGACACAACTCAAGACGCTGGAGAAGCCCGGCACGTTTGATATCTAAACACATTCCCTTGAGCGTCTAGTGGCAAAAATACAATTCTATAATTGGCATAGGCTAAATCCAAAAAAGCAATGATTCACAAAAGCTATTCTCAGACTGTAGTCGTCATACCTCAAGCACTTCCATGCCTCTTTCCACTTCCAGTTTGAGGTTGTCCTCAGCATTGTCTCGAGCATGTTCCTCTGTCTCCAACCTCTGACACAGCGTGTACTGGTCACAGCGAAAGGCCAGAGACAGCTGAGAGAAAGCAGCCTGTGCAGGGGGTTTGTAAGGTAATGAAAAACTAAATTAAACTAAAAAATATTTAGATAAAAAAAGAATCTACATGGAACAGAATTAGAAAGGTATGCCACACTTTAAAGAGAGCTGATATTCTTCAAAACCATCACTTCACAATGTCCATTTATGTATGTATCTATGTATCTCTCTATTTAAATCAAACAGGACTGACCTCCAATTCCTCCTCTGTCATGTCAACACTATGATGGCATGAAATAACCAACAATACAGATGGAGTGAAATAACAGACCTTTGGTCACAGCGAAAGGCCAGAGACAGCTGAGAGAAAGCAGCCTGTGCAGGGGGTTTGTAAGGTAATGAAAAACTAAATTAAACTAAAAAATATTTAGATAAAAAAAGAATCTACATGGAACAGAATTAGAAAGGTATGCCACACTTTAAAGAGAGCTGATATTCTTCAAAACCATCACTTCACAATGTCCATTTATGTATGTATCTCTCTATTTAAATCAAACAGGACTGACCTCCAATTCCTCCTCTGTCATGTCAACACTATGATGGCATGAAATAACCAACAATACAGATGGAGTGAAATAACAGACATTAAAAAGAAGAGATTATTTATTTTTTTTACATAGTTTTTGCACTTGTCTTGGCATTCACTGTGGACAGCAAAGACAGAATTTCATTGTACAGGGAAACCTGTTTTCATCACTGTGCACATGACAATAAATGCTTTGAATATTGAATTATAGGAATGCATGTCCACAAAAATCTGGATAACTAAATAAATGGCTGATATAAAGCTAGCCATAGTAAAAGCTAGCTTTTGTTTATATCTGAATATATCACCTGTTTGGACCCAGCCTCACCATAACAGATGGCTCTTCTAAGGCAGTTTGGTCCTCGTGTCTAGACCCTTCAGAAGAGAAAAAAGTGTCACAAACTTTTTTAATTTACCCTGTATAGCATGAATGCATGGTGGGTAAATAGTTTTGGCATTACCTTCCTCAGAGTCATTCTCGCTGTTCTCTGTCTGGTTGTTGGTCAGGACTTGCTGGTCTTCACAAGCCTAATCAGACGTTATATTGTATACTGTAGTACATAATACTATAAATATATAGTACTGATTGGATTAGATTACTATTTTACCTCAAAAATAAAGCTAATGAAAATGTTGAAAATATTTATATTTCGTTCATCTCGATAATTCCAAGTTGCAAAATAATTAAGAACCGAGATATTAGTCTAAAAAAAAATATCGACTGTAAAAGCTTACTGAAGTATATCCTTATTTCCCCAGCAACATTAAATGCTTAACATTTAACGTTTTAAACATTAAAACACGCTTTCTACACAAAGTTAGGAATTCTGCCAACATATTCTTGTAGTCTATGAACAAAAGCCCTCAACACTTAAATTCAATCCAATCTCATTAACCGTCGTTCCGATATTCAGATTTCCCGCTTCTGCTGTGTAACGTCCACAAAGTATAATCAAAGAAAGATTGAACTTGCGCTTGCTTACCATGACATTTGCTGATTTCTTGCTCTCCACTATGTATCTCTCTATTTAAATCAAACAGGACTGACCTCCAATTCCTCCTCTGTCATGTCAACACTATGATGGCATGAAATAACCAACAATACAGATGGAGTGAAATAACAGACCTTTTTTTTTTTACATAGTTTTTGCACTTGTCTTGGCATTCACTGTGGACAGCAAAGACAGAATTTCATTGTACAGGGAAACCTGTTTTCATCACTGTGCACATGACAATAAATGCTTTGAATATTGAATTATAGGAATGCATGTCCACAAAAATCTGGATAACTAAATAAATGGCTGATATAAAGCTAGCCATAGTAAAAGCTAGCTTTTGTTTATATCTGAATATATCACCTGTTTGGACCCAGCCTCACCATAACAGATGGCTCTTCTAAGGCAGTTTGGTCCTCGTGTCTAGACCCTTCAGAAGAGAAAAAAGTGTCACAAACTTTTTTAATTTACCCTGTATAGCATGAATGCATGGTGGGTAAATAGTTTTGGCATTACCTTCCTCAGAGTCATTCTCGCTGTTCTCTGTCTGGTTGTTGGTCAGGACTTGCTGGTCTTCACAAGCCTAATCAGACGTTATATTGTATACTGTAGTACATAATACTATAAATATATAGTACTGATTGGATTAGATTACTATTTTACCTCAAAAATAAAGCTAATGAAAATGTTGAAAATATTTATATTTCGTTCATCTCGATAATTCCAAGTTGCAAAATAATTAAGAACCGAGATATTAGTCTAAAAAAAATATCGACTGTAAAAGCTTACTGAAGTATATCCTTATTTCCCCAGCAACATTAAATGCTCAACATTTAACGTTTTAAACATTAAAACACGCTTTCTACACAAAGTTAGGAATTCTGCCAACATATTCTTGTAGTCTATGAACAAAAGCCCTCAACACTTAAATTCAATCCAATCTCATTAACCGTCGTTCCGATATTCAGATTTCCCGCTTCTGCTGTGTAACGTCCACAAAGTATAATCAAAGAAAGATTGAACTTGCGCTTGCTTACCATGACATTTGCTGATTTCTTGCTCTCCACCTCTCTTCCTGCTCCTAACAGACTCCTAATCTCATTAAAAGATAGAGTGAAGAAAACTGGCAGACTAATGACACCGTTTTAGACGGGTCATGGCTGCCACAGACACTGGTGACTGACAATACCAGAAATGAGAGAAAAAACAAAGCTAGAAACACAACAGCAAAATGTATTTAGCTTGGTGTGCATACTACAAAACACCATGAAGGTGGGCCATCTTGCAAAAATGGTCTTTAATGTTGTAGCCAATTTAAAATAAAATTCTTAATGCACATGAAGCAGTTTCACATCAAGCTTTTTCTAAGAACTACATGCCATTATACAGCTTCCTTGTGGTGTATAAATTGTGATGTAAACATTTGAAAATCTTCAAATAAATTTGTGCAATTTTTACACCGATCAAACGAGCATATTTAGCATTTATTTGAAAGGACATTAGGAAAGACACAAAAACATGAGATTTGGATCAACTCCACATTTATTGTAGAAAATTGAGGAACAGTCTCTAATAGAGGCGCTGTGGCTTTCCCATGGTGCTCTTGATGTAGAGCGCTCTCACGTTCTGCCAGTTCTTCTTCAGCAGAGACACCAGGAAGTTCACAGCCAGGTGGATGTTGTAGACCAGCTCTTCCTCAGTCATCCTGACGTGACCAACAGCCACAGCCAGACACAGAACCTGAACATGACAGAGATGACCATTACTGACTTAAGTAATACAAATTCAGGAGTTAAAAAAAGTTTTTTTTGTTTGAAAGAAGTCTCTTATGCTCAACGCTGCATTTACTTGAACAAAAACACAGTAGAGACAGTAACATTGGGATATTGTATTAAAATACAACAAAGTAAAAAAAGCATTTTCTACTTTTTAAAAAATGTAATTTATTCCTGTGATAAAGCTGAATTTGCAGCAGCCATTACTAATTTACATATGTTTGTGGAAACGGTCATACATTGTCAGAATTCATTAGCAATTAAAAAAAAATAAACTAATTCAGCATTTCTTTAGAATAGAAATCTTTTGTAACCATATAAATGTCTATACTGTCACTTTTGATCAATTTAATGTCCAAAGCACTCTTTATTAAAAACATACCTTCTTCATCTGGAATTTGATGGTGGATTTCACTTCATCCACCTTGGTGGCCAGGTTCTCGTTATGGGTGAGCAGAGAGGGGAACTTTCCTGCCTTGTTGAGGCCAGGTCCCAGGATACGAGGAATCTGCTTGATCAGAGACTCAGAAGCCAGGAAAGCATCGTACTTCTTTGCTAAAAAGAGAACCAGCAAGATGCATCAATACATAGACTCAATCCAGAACAAACTATAGCACTGAACACATACATGTCTTATCGCTAATGTTCTCCCAAAAAGGAAACTCACCCAGCTTCTTGACCAGTTTCTTGTTCTTGTTGAGCTTTTTAAGAGCCTCGATGTCCATGTGTGGAAGCTCAGCGGACTTGGCTTCATCACAATGCTGCTGGTCACCAAGGATGCACACGGAGAACTTGGGACGTGGGGTGGTCTTCAGCCTGTGAGGGGCGACGGAAAAGACTGACTGACAAACATGTCAGACCCCTTTTGACCCACTTGAGGCAGAACAGAGGAGTCTTACCCATACCACCTCAGCTGGAATCAGGTGTTGATAGCACAGGCATATAATAAAATGGTCGGCTTAGGTATGACAGCATGAACGCCGTCACCTATAGCCTCCCCTCATGTTTTAAGACCCAGGGTAGGGGTCCGCCTGCGTCACCAAGCCAGAGAATGGGTGGTTCAGACAGACTACCCGAGGCTGTTCTACACTGCCTGCCTTTAACCTGCCTGCTCAAGCAATTTAATCCAAAGAATAACTACCTCATGTCAAGATATCCAGATATTTATTCAGGCAAAGCAAAGGGCAGGCAGACAGAAGACTGGGTGATACAGTAAAGGGCCGAACCTGACAGTGCCTGAGAAACGCTTGTCCTTCTGGGGATCGTAGTTCTTCAAGCTGATCTGCAGCTCCACAGACTCAAGAAACCTTAAAAATAAGAGTCAAAATAAATACCTTGTATACAAGTAGCCGTTACATAATGAGGGTAAACACTTACAGTTAACAAAAATATATCTGATATTTAAGCATAGGCTTTATCTTTATCAAGCAGTAAAACATTTATTAATTTAATAAATAGCCATTTAATTACTAGCAAGTAACACAATAACTAGTTTGTGCTGACCAGAAATTATCAGTAAGTACTGGTAATTTAAAAATGATAAATAAATAAATGTCTGCCAATGAACACAATGACCAGACTCTTACTTTCTCTTCTTAAGACGGGAACCAGCCTGGACCTCCCGAACAGCCTCGTACAAAGTGTCTCTTGAGACCTTGCTGTTAAAAAAAATAAATTTACAAAAAATTATTAATTCCATGACTAGTTTGTTCCATACGTCGTTTAAACTGACCGGTGAATGTACACTATAAAACACGCCTCCAAACTCCGTTTCACAAGCCTCAATATATCTATATTACTTAAGTTAGATATTAATAATAACCGTCAGAACAATTATAATTTCAGATGAAGTTCAATATTTGTCTGATTAAACCGGATTGCATTCCAGATGATCCGGTGCGCTGCGCGGTAGCACTGAAGAGCTGCTCGAGTTTGTCAAGGAAAACAAATCTCAAGCTCTCCGACTGACATTGCTTGATGATATATTTGCTTATATAGCTATTCAATGGTGAAATGAAACGTTATAAAGGATTAAATACTTTATATATGAAAATTTCTCACGTGCCTCATTTTGCCGTGGTGCCTTTCCTTTCACACGGAGCTCGAAAAAGGAAGAATGAAGGGAAGTTGCGTCGAATATATGCGTCTGAGTGTGAAAAACGGACTTCCGGAGCCGCCATGATTGTTGTGGCCACAGAAATATGTAACCATGTGTTCCACAAACTTTTTCTTTTAATGTGTCAAAAAAGTGTGTGCGCCATGCACAATTACATTACATTTGATATATTTCTAATAAATCACAACAATTAATCTTAAAGCATTCAAATGTGTCCAGGACATAACATTTAAATAATACGAATCCAGATAGTTTAATTGAAACTATTACGTTTAATAACTTTTCATTAACTGTTCCCTCCTGGTGGAATGACCTGCCCAAATCAATCCGAGCAGCTGAGTCCTTAACCATCTTCAAGAAACGACTAAAAACACATCTCTTCCACCTTTATTTGACCTTCTAACTCTAGCACTCTCTATTCTATTTTAATTCTACTTTATCTATATTTAACTTCTTTGTGTGTGTGTGTGTGTGTATATATAATATATCTATGGGTGTGTATATATATATATATATATATATGTGTGTGTGTGTGTGTATATATATATATATATATGTGTGTATGTATATATACCACTTGATTGGCTCTATGACTCTCTCTCCTCTTCACCTGTTGCTGGTGTGTGGTGAGCGCACTGGCGCTGTTGTCCTGTGGCTGCCGTCGCATCATCCAAGTGGATGCTGCACACTGGTGGTGGGTGAGGAGAGACCCCCTACTGTGTTAGGCTAACCGAGACTTGTCATTTGCACTTATATAGTGTTGTCCTCATTTGTAAGTCGCTTTGGATAAAAGCGTCTGCTAAATGACTAAATAAAATAAATAAATAAAAAATAAAAGGGGTTAAAGCAAAAAAATTAAAATCCTGAGCCTGAACTTTTTTCCGGGGGGCGGGGCATGCAATGACTATGGCAACTTTAACATTTGAAAGGATACTATGGCAAAGTTATTGCTTTCTTTATTCAAACTGATTTTTTTTTAAATAAATACTGGTTGACCTGAAGAATGAAAACTATATCATACACTTGGAAAATTATGAGCTATATCACCGCTTATCAACACTAGGGGTGTGACAATATACACTTAGCTCACGAGACGAGACAAAACTTCAAGACGATATTTCAATACTATTTTTACCAAATTTTCAATGACAAAATATTTGTCTTTTAATTACAAAAAGTAAAACAATGCAGTTGTATTTTGAAATATTTTAACTAATCTAGGGCTGTAACTAATGATTATTTTGGTAATCAAGTAATCTACTGATTATTTTGACAATTGAGTAATGATATTTGTTAGTAACAAACAGACCTAAGTGAAAACCAGGCTTTAGTATGATTATTTAAATATAAACTAACGATGAGGCAATAATAATTGGCTCAGATAAAATATCAAAACCAAGTAATCACATGGGTTTATTGAACAACACTGTTAAAATACATAATGTAATATGCCTATACATAATATGAACATAACCAACCTAATATGTATTAAAACAAATACCTGCAAAGGGCGCCAACGGCCTAGTGACGTTTCACTTTACAGTGTGATTGATTAAATCCATTACATTTTCATATTTGGCCACATGCAAACTTAGAAACGTTTTTTTGAAATCCTGATGTACAATAAATGGCATATTTAGAAATAGGTTGATGTATTCTCCTGTGTTGGCAAAGGTTTATAAATGATTTAGTTAGAAAAATAGTGAGATAATGAACAGTTTTCCCAGATGAACGTTAAGCAATTCAAATTCACAGCATTCAGAGGAAGACTTTAGCCCCTTTCACGCATACAGTCTTTACTGGCAAATTTCCATAAGTTACCATTAAGAGATAGAGATCATGTGAACAGGACCTTTTCAAAAATCCAGGTAAATTTGTTCTGGCAATAATATCGTTCTTCTCGTGTCGCGCTTCTCCATTCATCAGGGCTGCACTCTGCAATTGAATAGTATTATGCGCGTCTCATGTTTATAAATGCAAAAAAATCTGATTGGCTAGTAATGTTAGCTTGGTTGAGAGTGAAAGTTGTGCTCGTCTCATACCATTGGTAGGCGAACTCAAGTTTTTTTTAAACCTATGATTATTATTATTACCCCCCTCGTTGAAATCGCTACCAGATTGCCTAATCCTAACCCCTCCCCCACACCTAACCCTAAACCTACCAGTACTAGGGGGGTAATAA